ATAAGCATCTTAAACCACACCATTCCCCGTGGCGACTTGTTTCTTCTCTGATGTTCCTCCTTCCAGTAAATGGCACCTCTGATCACACAATTGCCCCTATAAAAAACCTTGGAATTATTCATTCCTTACATCCAATCCCTCAACAAACCCATGGATCTACCCCCAAAATGTACTTCAGATTCTATCACGTCTTACTATGACTATTCTAGGCCAAGCCAGAGTTAACCCTCATCAGGACTGTTCATTGTCAGTCTCCTAGCTGGTCTCCCTGCTTCAATCCTGCCCTCTTGCCATCTGTTGTTTACATAAGTGCTAGAGTGACTCTTTTTAAATAAAAGTCACTTTCTTGCTCAAAATCAGACCCTATCACTTTCTTGCTCACAACCATCATCATTAGGATAAATTCCAAAGTCCTTTCATGACCAAAAAAGCCAGCACAAAGCTTCCTCTTTAGCTGTTCTCCAAATGCACCAACATCCTGTTGTTTCTCAGGTACACAGACATTTCTCTCTTCCTGGGGCCTTTGCTCTTGGTTTTGCCCACTAACCACAATGCTTTTCTCCAGCATAACTCTCACACTTATCACTTCCTTCCCATCTCTTGTCAAATGTCACCTGTCAAAGAAGCCTTCCTTGCCACCTTCCAAGGCCTGGCTCTGATTTTATTTTCCTTTGTAACCTCTGTACTCATCCATATTTATAGTATGTATCTTTATTTGTTTATTTTCTATCTGTACCCATCCCTCTAGACTTTGAAACCTTAAGGGGAAAAACTTTATCCTTTTTCATTGCTGTATCACCAAAATTGAAGTTTATTCCTGGATTATAGTAGTGCCACAACAGATATATTTTAAATGAATTATTTAATGAATAAATGAATGGATAATCCCCTACTTATCAGTTTGCTAAGATGTTAAGAAGTAAAATATAACAAGTTGCTGCTAGCACATGGTAAAGAGAATATCAATGAATTTTTCCATTCTTATAAATAAAATGGACCTGGACTGTAGCCATAGTACATGGAAGTAAATTACATTGTGACATCTGCAATTATTAGAATTTCCTTTTATTTCTGCATTTTACTTGTTCTTTCTGGCCTCTGATCTTTCAGGGATAATTGGAGAAAGCATGTTCCTTTGAGCTCACATCTAGGACTTTATTTGACTGGTGGGAATTTCTTTAAAACTGTCCACTTAAATGGGAAAAGTCACATTGGCTTCCAATTTTCTGGCTAGCAAATTATCTGTCACTAGAGGCAGATTGATCCCAACAGCCTGATAGTTTCCAGCTACATCCCCCAGGACAAGGAAATGGTACTGTTTTCCTGGCACCATACTTGAACCTCACACATTAAATTCCAGGGAACACAGATACCAAGAAGTAAATTTGCTTTCCCACTCCAAAACCCTTCTCTTCCACGCTGACTAGCAGAGGTAGTTTCATCAACTTGAGACCAAGGATGACTGCCCTCTATCCTTCCATGCATCCCCTGGAGAATCACTGGAAATAAAAGGAGCCCAGGGGTCAGAGGAAGACGGATTTAATTTTGAGCCCCGGTCTTGATTCACATAAGCTGTGTTACCTTAAACAAGTTACTTAACCTCCACCAGCGTTCATTTCTCCAAGTACACAAGAACATTTTGGGGGGAGAGTTGAGAGAATTAGTGTGGGTCACCTGGTAAAGCACTTGGCCCAACTCCACATTCCTCTCTGCTCCCCACCACCACCACATGCCTGCCATCACCCCCATCCACATGAAGCATGTGGAATTCTCAGAGTGCTCTCCCATACATTACCCTTTGTGACCCTCACAATAATGATCTGATATAATCAGGGCAGTTGTTATTATTCCATTTTTGAGATCCAGGTAGCCAGATTATTGAGCTATTTGAAGTCAGTGGGGAGCAAACAGAAAATGATTTTAGTTTTTCTATGTGATGGTTGGGTGCACATCCCTTGAAAAATATCGTAGCAGACTCCTGATCTTCCTGGTTACTTCAATTCATTAAAACCTGTCTAAAACAAAACTCCATTCCCTCCTCCTACTTAAGCCTTCCTGCCTCCAGCAATGCCCAGTTTGTAGCCTAAAAGATGTAAAACAAAAAAGGTCAGTTTTGGTCCTTTGCTTCTCCCAAGTCCTCACCTTGGTTCATTTCCACTTCAATGAATGGTTGTTTCACAGCCCCCCTCTCACTTGACTTTTTCAGAGATGAAGGGTCCTCCACAAAACAAATGCTATGCTCCAAAGGATTTATAACCCCTTGCCCTATATCAGTGAGGATATGCTAGCTTATGTTACAGTCACCAAACAACTCCAAAATATCTCAGGCCTCTCCTTCTTCTTCCTTCTGTTGTAGCTCTAGCTCCTCTGGTAGCTTTGAGCTGTAGGGAAAAGAAAAAGAAACAAGAGTCCTACTGGCCAGTTACTAACCTTTCCATATAGGTTGCTGCTGCTTCTCTGCTAACTCTTTCTGGCTGATGATGCCCATCACAAGTCCTGGAGGGACTTTTTGAGAGCCCTGAAGGGACTCCCATCTATATTCAGAGGAGGAGTTGAGAGTTAAAGCAAGTTCACACCAGACCAGGAGTTCAGAATAAAGCAAGCACAAAGTTTATTGGAAGGATAGCAAAGCACCCTAACAGGTGAGACTTAGTGAAAGAGCTAAGCCAAAGGATGGCTGAAGTTCCTGAGATTAAATAGGAGCCTGACTTTAGGCACACACCCCTGCACTTCCCTTACCCCCACCCCCTCCCACCCCCACGCACTTGACTTTGAAGCTGTAACTATAATTGCCTATCTGATTAACTTCTTGCTAAACCCAATGAACTGGCTGTACCCCATCCTTATTGGACTGGACATTCCAAGAGGGTCTCATTAATCCATCCTGTCCTTGAAACCTGTCATGTACATTTTATGACTACCACTCATATTTTTGTGAGATCCCCTTTTCATTTATCTTGGGAAAGTTTGCTCAACTCGTCCTGGCCTTGGGGCCCACTACCCACATTGTGCAGCTGCATCTTGTTACTTTGGTGAGAGGCTTATAATTTCTCTGAGAAGCCTGTTGTTTCCCATGCCTCTTTAGATGTCTGCTTTTAAAGTACCTCTCTCACCCAAAATGGATTCACCTTTGTCATTGCTCCCTTTACAATATGGTTCCCTGAAGTGGAAAGCTGGCTTCATACAACCACACCCAACTTCAGGTGGGCAAAGAAGTATCATCCCATCAAGTGTCCAGACAGTGGGAGAGCAGTACTGTGTCACTTATGTAGGGTCACATACGCAAAGTAGATGTGCAACTCAATAGCCTAAAGAATGGGTCACCTCTTTAGTTGGTGAGGGTGTGGATTGACAACTTGAGTAGGACACAGCCAGACAGTTCTGGTTTCAGCTAGACTCAGTTATATCTGCAGGACAGCAGAGTATCTCTGTGTCTGGGATCTCCCTGGGGTGATATGGGCCTGATGGGTCCAGGTGTCTCTTTTTACCCATCAGGTTACCTTATGTTTGTTCATGTGAGTATTTGACAGGTTTCCAAAGGGAGGACAGAGCCTTATATTTAGAGCTATCTTAGAATTCCTTTTGCTACCTTTTTTTTGCCAAATCCCCAAACCAACAAGATTCAGGGAGGGAAAATGGGAGTACCTGCAGAATCACATTGCAAAGTAGCATGGATATGAGGAAGGAGGAAGCATGGCCTTCTTGTGGTATGGTCCCAGCATTGAAGACCACCATCCACTCCTGGTCAAGCTGGGGGTTGAGGTGGAGATGACAGGCTTGTTGAGACCACATCAAAACACCCTATGTACTGCCCAGGGAGCCTGGCCATATTGAGTGGAGACTGCCATTAGAATAGAACACCAAGAACCATTTTCTCTGAAACTTTGGCCCTAGATGTGGTTCCAGGCAATAGGAAGAACTGCCATGTTTATTCAATTACAAAAGGAATTATCTAGGTAGAGGGGAAACTGGGTTCTAAAAGCTGGTGATTAAAAAAAAAAACAGTAAATATGAGAGGTTTTGAAAGGATGATAGTAGCTGGCAGAGACAGAGCAAAGCTGACACCAGTACAGGCTGTCATCAAGACCTGCAGTCCACCAGTCCCTGCAGCACATGGCAAGGAATTGTTCCCTAAACCTATGAAAAAGGAAACTTATTAACAGAGTTGAAACAAGAGGCTCACATGCTCACATCTGTGTTTCCAGAAGATTCTTCCAATTTCAATGGGAAGATGAGATTAGAAGTGCAGACTGGGCTCAAATGCAGGCCTTCAGAAGCTAGCGCTTTTCCAAATCTGTTTTGGTGCCTCTTCATAAGTTCCAGAGGCAAAGAGGAACTGGGCTAGTTTGCCATGCCTGAAAATGAGGAGCAAGGCCACAAGAAAGACAAAGGAAGCTGAAAGGGTAATTGAAACACTGTGTCCTCCAAAACACACACACACACACACACACACACATTACTTCACCACATGCTTCAGACACAAGCAGGCTTGAGAGTTTCTGGTTAGTGTTCTGTGGATAATTTAGCCAGATTGATGTGAGTCAGAGAGTGGTATCTTCTGCTTTGCTGTGTGCAGACACAAGTGGCTGCCAAGTGGTTATAAAAGAGAAAAGCCAGCACTCCATGCCCAGCCTTTGTGCCCAGGGTTTGTACATCATTTCTAATTATCCAAACTCAAAAGGCAAATGGTGTCAAATGTCTGGAACATTTTGACAGCGCTCTGGTGGACCCTAAGGAGGCAGGGGAGGAGGAGCAGAGACAGAAGGAAAGGGAAGCTCTGCTCTTTGGAGTTTCTTTCTGCTAACTGGTTGGGGGTGGGTGAGGTGCTGCTGAATTCCATTTCAACTAGGCACTGGCCTCATCCACCCACACAGGGACATAGCAGAGCCTCCTTGGGCTGAGGCATCAGTGGGACAGTGTGGGACACGGAGCCAATCTTCCCCCTAGCATGAGTCTGCACGATCGATCGTAAGAGAGACTCTTCTGTCATTGCATTGCAGCTCCAGAAACTAAAACGATCACTTTCTTTCAAGACCAAGAGTTTACGGAGCAAAAGTGCTGACAACTTCTTCCCAAGAACCAACAGCGATGTGAAGCTGCAAACAGACATGCTGGCTGAGGTCAGTCCTGGCCCCAGCCCACTGCCTGCCTCTGGAAGCCTGACGTCTACGCCCACCAGGGCAGGCCTGCACCCCAGCAGCAGCAAGGCCCACGCCTTCCAAGAACACATCTTCAAGAAGCCCACCTTCTGTGATGTCTGCAACCACATGATAGTGGGTAAGGCCTCCCTGCCCTTTCCTGCAGGTCAGTGCCCTGGGAAGCTGAGTAAGAGCAATGTGCCATGGGTCCAGGTATCCCAGATGAACTCTGATATCTGAGAGTCACGTATTACAGGGTCCTGGGTAACAGTACCTGTGAAAAGGTAAGGGAAGCAGGGCTGGGAAGAAGAGGAGGTTAGGTTGTGGTGTAGTAATACCCAATTTCAGCTGATCCCCAAGTAGCCCTAGAGTCACAGTACAACTTTACAATCACCCTACATGTGGTCTTTCTACACCTGCCTCAGCCTGTCATTACATACGGGCAACAAAGGAACCTTGGAATGTTGGTTACTTCCCAAAGAATCAACATCTGCCACCACTGAAAATGGACACATCAGTGGTGGCCAGGAAGATAGAACTCTGTGGTTTCTCTCACCCTTTTCCAAGGTCCAGTTAAGAGATAAGATATTCAAAGTGGGGAGCAATGTTAGTCCCTATTCTATCCAGATGCTCAAGACCTGTCCTGTTTTTTTTAAGACAAGGAATATCTACTCACAACTTCATTTCCTACTCATATTCTTCTTTCAAACAAGTCACCTTTAGAAACAGTGCTTGTCTTAGGAATTTCCACCATAATGTTGCTTAACAACTCCCCTAAAACATCAATGCTATCAACTAGCCATCTTTTACTCTTGCTTGGGTGTCTTCAGGTGGGTCTGGCCAAACAGATTTCATCCAGTCATTGTATATTCTTTTTTCTCTCACTCCTTCTTAAGCCAGTGGCCCAGCCATATCATGTACTTGACAAGGACAATACAAAGCACTTTGAGGCCTTGGCTGGAGGTGGCACACTGGATTTCTACTGCATTATTTAAGTTTGTCACTAGAGAGAGGAAAGGGAGGAGGATGATCTCCAACAAAAAAGGAGAAGGGACTCCTTCTCCCATCTTCCCAATTTCCATGCAAATAACAGGAACTTGAAATTCATAATGAAAAGCATTTGAAAAGGTTTCACAAAAAGGAAACGTATCAAGTAGACATTTAGCAAAGCAGGGCAAAACAGGGAAAATAAAAAGGGAAAGAGGAGCACCTCCTGCTTCACATGCGGGAGATAGAAGCAGAGAGTCATAAAATGGCAGCCCCTATCCTGGGTATGTTTATGCCTTTTAAGCTGGTGGATTCCAACCGAAACCCTTGGCTAGAGTGGTCCAGTCACCAAGCAACCCCTAATAATTTTGTTAAGTTCCCAAGAATGAAGACAATGGATGTAGAGTGGGTCTACATAGAGATAATGAGTCTAAGATAGGTCTTGTTATTATTTAAAACATGGAGACAATCTACAGGTGAACTTGTTATTATCAAAACATTCCCCTCTGATCAAAGACTTTTCACCAGGCATGCTTGGGACTCCCCAGTCCTTCAAGGAACTTATAACTCACTTATCATCCAAGGAAGGTGGGATGATGGAAGGAATGTTTGCTGTTCTCTGTGATTTTCACTTTATTTCCTGGTTGCAATAATTCCTAAATCTGGTCTTGTAATATTTCTAAGTTATTTCTAACTTCCCTGTCACCTCATTCTATTTATCATGCCTCAAGTTCACAAGCAAGTTACATGATCCAGCACACAGTCAGGGGATAAAGTCTACTTTACCTTGAGGAACAGACACTGCCAACCACCACAAAAAGAGCATTGATGAATGGGAGGGAACGGAAGTCAGTGAGCCAACCACCATTTAAGTGGTCTTTGCATTACTGATCTTCTTTCTTGGTAGATTCTGCTCAGTCTTGGAACTTCCACCCTCTCACTCACATCTCCATTTGGAAGTGATGTTTGGCACCCGAGTGCCAGCAAGGAGAGTTAGGGATCTCAACATGTTCCATGCTCAGAATACTTAGGCAACCCCACCTCCTGCTTAGTCTTTATAAATGCCTAGCTTTCAGAGTCTGATGCATCAGTTTCAATTTCCACCAGACCTTTGCAAGGCAGTACTATTCATAACCCTTAAATAGGTGTGATGAGTGTCTATTTTTAATCTCATAATAATGTATACGAAAAGACAAAGGGACATGTGCTTTTAAGAATGAGTAATGGAAATGAGTTCACCTCTGAGGAATGTCACAGCCATTACTCTAAAGGGGATTCTAGGTACACCTCACATAAAAATTATTTAAAATGCTGAAGAAAATCACACTGTGCCTTAAAGCTGGAAAGGCCACACCTTCACCACAAGAACACAACCAATAAAAATTGCACCCAGCTCCTTCACTGCCTATCTTTTCCTAGCTTCCTTAACTTTCTATTGCCAACTTTTCTCTTGACTTGGACTTGCTGCCTAAAACTCCTCCCTTATGGGCCTGGCTCCCAGACCCCCTGAGTTAAGCACTTCTGGAGTAGGTCTTCTGGTTAATCTATTCTTGCTTCTAGGACCTTGCTATCCATTATAATCCCCTTCTTAGCTTAGCCCTCCCTAGAAAACTTGGTCACCTATGCAAACTAAAGATAGCCCAGCTTTTCATAGCAATGTAAGAGATGTAGACAGTCACATGTGCCTGTCAGCTCCAATGGTCAATGTCCCTGCCTTTGGGTCAACAAGACTCAAGACCAAGTCTTAGACAAGAAGATTTCTGAACGGACTCTTATACTTGGTTAGATAAACACATTTTTCCCACCAAGAAGACCCAGTCTTGAAATCCTTAAGCCTTGATGATAGGAGTGAGAGCTAGGGGACACATCTTCACTGGGCATCACCTAAATCTATTCCATTTATGGCATTCTATCTTTACATGGAATCGTGTCTACTGTGGCTCATTTTAGGAGAGCAATGAATCCATGTGGCAATCTGTATCTCATTGAAATGCCAAAGGCTTCAACATGTGCTATTAATACAACGAACTCCATGTATGGGTCTAGTTCATCAACTAAGATTTTTCCAAGGGACTCCATTCTTCTGTTTATTGCCAGATGCCTTGTTTCCACGATTTATCTTTAATTATGTTTTTAGTTGGATTTCACTTAGAAGGTAGAGCATATTAAATGGACTTAGATATTATAAACAGATAATTAGCAAAATGGTTGAATTTCATTGCTTAAAATTTGAACTTTTCTTTATACAGTTGCTACAGAAATAATCATTGACTTTCATAACTGTCCAAGTGGAAACCACAGGGAAAAATAGTAATAGTGTTGTCTTAGGTAGCAATCCCTAGAATCAGGAATTCTAATGAAAGTGGTTTATTGCGGAGAGTGCCCTGGGAGAAGGAAAGCCAAAGAAATAGGAACGTAAGGGAAGGTGCTAGGCAAGGCTATACTCTCAGGCATTGCCCACAGCAGAATAATGTCACTGAGCAATCTTCCCATGAAACAAGAGTCCAGCCTTGCACATTCCTGTCACCCAGTTATTAATCATGATTGCCCCCAGGAAGTAGTGGGGATATGTCATCCCAACAAGGAGAATCCCATTTGATTAAGGACAAGTCTTTGGGAAAAAAAGGGAGGGGGCATCTGTGATTCATTAGCAGCCATCACTCACAGCACCGGCATGGTAAGTGAGATCTGGACAAGCTGCTAACAGTATCCATCACATTCGTAAGCTGCTTAAATGCTGCAAGACGCAGGATAAAAACATCCTTCACTAGGAGAGAAGTTTTTTAGCATTAATTTTTTATTAGGATATATTCGTTGTATGGGGGGTTTCATTGTGACAATTCTAAACAAGCTTAGATCACCCCCACTGTCTCTCCCCCTCAACTCCCTCCCTGCCCCACTTAAAGCAAATGCAAAAGTTTTCTTTGCTCTATTCTATTTCATATAAGTATATGAAGTCCATCAACCATATTCCCTTACCTTAATCTCCTTCATTCACAACCCCTCACAAGAACCCCACACACAAACACTGTATCTATTTTACAGCCCTGTCTTTTGTTATAAATATTTAAATTGATGTTCAAAGGGGTTTCTTGATGCATTTCCACTGTGAGTGTACTTTACTTTGGTCTATTCAACCCCTTCCATTGCTCTCCCTTATCCCTTTACCTCCCATCTACCACCCCACTTTTCAGCAGCTTTCAAGACATATCCTTATATCCTCTACCTTCACAGATGTTATGTTTTACAATATTATTGATGCTCTGTCATTCTCTTTTCCTTTCCCTCTTTGCCTGAATTCCATAGAGTAGTTCCACTGTTACAAACAGGTTCTACATATGAGTTTGTATATGATCATGTTTGTTTCTGTGTGTATGTTTATCTTTTGGATCTATCGTCCATCTGTATGAAAAAGCATGTGGCCTTTGTCTTTCTGAGACTAGGAGTGAATTTAAAATGCAAATGCACCTTAGAATTGATGTACCCATAATATTGCATTACCGTTATAATGAGTCATATACCATGAGGAAATATTAAATTAAGCCCAGGCAAGGACCTTTCTGCGTGCTCTTGTTTGACCATTAGTTTAATTGTTTCCTGACCTATTCTGACTGCATCTCATTTCTCAAGCCATTGACCAAAATTTGAGTAGAAAAAACATATAGATACACACAAGACACAAAACACATAAATTAGCACAAGACACAAAACTAAAAAAAAAAGTCAGTGTTTACTCACCAATGAAGTTGTCTTTTGATAAGAAAGAGCAAACAAAGATCAAAGGGAATATTGAAAAGCAAATGTCAAGTCTGTGTATTCTCAGAATGGAATTGAACCTCTGAGGTACTGGTAATCTTTTAAATGGACAATTGTTTTAGGAACTGTACAGCTTATAAATAAGAAAATACAAATGCTCTTTAAAACTTAAAAAAATGTTTCAAATACACAATCTCCTTTAGGCCATAGGATGTCTCCATATTAAAATGCAGGACCCAGACCTCAGTAATTTGTCTAATGGACAAAATAGTGTCCATAACTTAACTGCTTCTTTTCTCCTATAGGATGAAACTGAAGTACAATGCCCAGTCCAACGGAGGCAAATAGTTCCTTTCTGGTGTTTGCTCATTTAGCCCCCTTAAGAGAATCATGTTT